GAAGGGCGGGAAGAAGCAGATCCAGAAACTGGAGGCCAGGGTGGGTCTTCTGATCAGCATATTTCCCACCTCATTCGAATCCAGTTCTTGATTTTGAGTACCTTATACTGCTGAATGATTGGGACATACAGAATGAATAGAAATGTTCCTTCCTGCCCAAGAGCTTTTAAGGGTACAGCTAGACTAGGGCATCAAAATACATATAAAGCAGAGTAAAAGAAGCACTGCAAATCATTTGAAGAAGCAGAAATCCACTGAGTGAATGGATCACTGTAAATGTTTTTTAAAATACCTATCTTCTTGCAGGTCCGTGAACTTGAAGGAGAAGTTGAAAGTGAACAGAAGCGCAATGTTGAAACTGTCAAGAGTCTACGCAAACATGAGAGGAGAGTGAAGGAACTCACTTACCAGGTAAAGAAAATGGCCTGTCTAGGTTTTCACCCTAGTCTGCAAGGGCTCAAAAAGCTAATGTACAACAAAATGTTCATGGTATTTGCACTTTCAAGAGACTCACCCTCCAAAATATTATTTCAGACTGAGGAAGACCGCAAGAATGTGCTCAGACTCCAAGATCTGGTAGATAAACTGCAAGCGAAGGTGAAAGCTTACAAGAGACAAGCTGAGGAAGCGGTGAGTTCTGAACCCCTTGGAGTCACCATACAATCCACCCCACCCAGCCCCAGACTTCAGTATGCCCAACCCAGCTTAGTTAGGGGAATGAAAGGAGAGGAAAGAAGGATACAATGAGGAAGGATCAAAGGAAAAGGGTCAACAATGTTCTGAAGAATGAGAAGAAACCAACCACTTGATGAGCCAGGGAACACTTCCCAGAAAGGAGAAGAGCAACACAATGCTCTTGAGAGGACAAGAGTCTGGTTCAAGGAGCAGAAAGAAGCACAGACAGAGCAGTAGAGAAAGGGCCAAGGAGCAAAAGAGGAGGCAGATCACAGGGTCTTCTAGGTCTTGGTAAGTCTGGATCACATTCTAAGTACAATGGGACACTAGGAAGCCACAGGAGGGTCCTAAATTACTCAGTCATGCCCTGGTTTATACTTTTTAAAATAATATTCTGGATACATTGTGGAGAATAGATTGCCCAATAACATAGGTAGGTACAGGATGACATTCTAAGAAGCTTTTCAGGTAGGCCTGTGGCTTGCCTGAGGGCAGTAGTGAAGCAGATAGAGAAGAGGGAAGAGATTCAGGATACATTCTGGAGGGAGAAACTACAGGATGTGCTAACTGGTTGCCCTGGGAGGTGAAAGAAATGAAATCAGGAGTACTTCATCAAGTTCACAGTTTGAGAAACCAGTTGGATGGTGCAACAAAGACTACAATGGGGAACTAAGGGAGGGACAGATTCACAGGGCAAGAAAGAAACAGGGGGCTGCCTGGGTGGCTCAGTGGGTTAAGCCTCTGCCTTCAGCTCAGATCATGATCTCAGGGTCCTGGGATCAAGTCCCACATCAGGCTCTCTGCTAGGCAGGGAGCCTGCTTCCTCCTCTCCCTCTCTCTCTCTCTCTCTCTCTCTCTCTCTACTTGTGATCTCTCTCTGTCAAATAAATAAAATCTTTAAAAAAAAAAGAAAGAAACAGGAATTCTGTCATGGAAACAATCTTTGAAATGCCAACATATACATAAGTGAAGGTGACAAGTGAACAGTTAAGTCTGGAGCTCAGACTGTCTTGCTCATGTTCAGACTAATAGGTTCTTGGCACTCCACCTTATCTCATTTCCCCAACCTATGATTTATTTAAAATAATAAATACAAATTTTCTAAATATGTAAGTACGGTTATATATACCTACTCATCACAAATTAGTTCCTCTGTTCATTGGTGGTTTTCATGATTTGGCTGACCTCTAAGGTCTAGTGTGAGAAGCAGGGCATAAGGGGGACAGAGAGAGAGAACTTAATGTGTCTCTAACCCCTACTTCTCTCATCTGTAACAGGAAGATCTGAGGTTTTATTCATACTCTACTATTTAGTAATCCTAAATTTTATTAATTTCTGAATTTGAATGCCATATTTTGAACTGTTGTCAATGAGCCTTTTTTTTTTTTTTGAAAGACAGAGATCACAAGTAGGCAGAAAGGCAGGCAGAGAGAGAGGAAGGGAAGCAGGTTCCCTGCTGAGCAGAGAGCCCTATGTGGGGCTCGATTCCAGGACCCTGGGATCATAACCAGAGCTGAAGGCAGAGGCTTTAACCCACCCAGGCGCCCCGTCAATGAGCCTTTTAAAAAAGAACAATTACTAAAGACTAAACCCAAACCGACCTTCCCAAATTCACTGCTTATCTGTTCGAACATCATCAGAGACTACTGAAGAGTATTCTGGGAAACAAATTTTGTTTCATTTCTAAATTGCACTAAGTGGCAATAATTTACACTCAAATACTCAAGGGGCAATAATTAATATTCAACGCTAATAGCTTGATATAATATAGGTTTTTTTTTTTTTAAAGGTTTTGTTTTATGTGTTTTAGAAGGTTTGGTTCATTCACCAAACTCTGGCGGGGGGAAGGGGGAAGAAGAGGTTGGAAACCTGACATATTTAGCAGTAGCTCTAAGATGTTTACATGTTAAAAAGGAGAACTTTTAGGAATGTTGATAGCAAATGTCACCTGTCCCTCCTTCATATCCATGAGTTCAAGAAGCATGAGAGGAGTTAATACAAAAAAAAAAAAAAAAATTCAAGAGCTTTTGTCTAGTTTTTATTTTTTTTTTAAGGTTTACTAGAGTAAAGCATTTTTAAGTAAAAAGAAATTTGAGACCAACTGACCTAAGAAACTAGAAATTCTTAACTCTTTTCCCTCCTAAATGCATCTCCATTCATTCTCAGGAGGAACAATCCAATGTCAACCTTGCTAAATTCCGCAAGCTCCAGCACGAGCTGGAGGAGGCTGAGGAACGGGCTGACATTGCTGAGTCCCAGGTCAACAAGCTGCGGGTGAAGAGCCGGGAGGTCCACACGAAAATCATAAGTGAAGAGTAATTCAATGAAATGCTAAACAGTGACCAAGGAAATGCACAAAATGTGAACATCTTTGTCACTCTGTTTTCTACATTGCTTTTTTGCAGATAAAAAATTTATCCGCAAATAACTTGTGAGACTCTTCTCCTGCCCAACTGTGTCAATTAATCTTTTTCTGCATCAAGAAAAGAAAGAAAGAGAGGGAAGGAGGGAGAGAGGGAGGAAAGATGAAAAAGAGGGAGGGAGGAAAAGAGAGAGAAAGAAGGAGAGAGAAAGAAAGATTTTTGGCTTTTATCTTATGGAGCAGGATTTAGTCCCCAAGAATAAAACATGATAGGAACAGCCAGGCCAATCCCTGATAGTGAATGCCCTCAGCCACACTTGTCCCTGTGGGGAGCAGATGAGGCCTAGAGGTGGGCATGAGGCATATAGAACATAGCATATGATAAATCTCACCAGGCGAAACACCAGCTAGTTATCAGAAAAGGCTGATTTCTGTTAATGAAGTAATTTATTTTAATCTCAAGATTGAGTAAAAATAAAATAGTAATTACCTACATAAGATAAATGAAACTGTAAAATATTTGGATTGGACACTCAAAAATGCTCCAAATGCAAACTCTCCACTATAAATATATCAACTATTAAGTCAGGATTAGGATCCCTTGAGAGGGAAATACATTCTGTGGATTTTCTAGTTCTTTTTCAATGTAAGAGATTTTTAGTGTTTAAGTGGTTTTCCTGGGCATCCTCCCTTGCTGTCACATTAGAACAGGAAACAAGAGGGAGTTAAGAATGAATACATTGGCAGTATCTATGCTCTCTCTGGAAAGTTCTGTGACTCTTACAAGGCTTTCTCCCAGTCTTGTTCACAGCAGTGGAAGGCCAATTAATTGTTTCCCGTCAGTTCCCTACTCTCATTATTTGGTCTCTGGACTGTGACACTGTGCCTTTCTACAGAACTGCAACAAACCACCATCCTGATTATAAGGGTATCACTACTTTAGAGCAACAAGGCTGAGAGTAGCCCAGGCCTCCTGCTTACCTCATTTTTAATAGATGGGGAGCAGGTAAAATAGCAAGTATCTTGTCAGCTAGCAAGGTAACAAAGATCTTACAGAAATCATACACCTATTTCAAAAGAACAATATACGATTCCATGTTTTAAATGGTACTATCTGGTGGGTTAAATCATCTAGCTGCCCTCATCCAGACCTCGGCTCCTGGGGAAGATCCCCGTGGGTTGTTAGGTGCCTCCACTTGTATTCTGTGGATCTTTGGAGACAACTGTTTATTCTAGCTTGACATCTGGACCCGCACTTTACACTGAAATCTTTGCTCCCTAATCACAGCACTTCCCAGGAAACTCTCCTGAGAGGTGACTTACCCTCTCATAGGCCTTTCAGAACTTAAGTTCTGCTGCTTATCCTCTTGTAGAAAGCTCTTCTTCTCAGAGATTCATGCTCTTCTGCTATTCCCCATACCTACTGCTGTCCTCCACTGACCTCCTTCATTACGATTCTGGCTCCTCTTCTCTATCTACCCAACTCTTATGACATTCCTGGGAGATGTCACTGTCCATATGGATGATGCCTCTAATATACTGACTCCAGTCCCTTGGTGCTTTCTCCCTCCCTCCACTTTGTTCATTGCCTCCCTCTGGAAAATCCCCAAACTACTCACATTCACTCACCAAGTCAAGCAACTCCTTTCTGATCTTCTGGCTTTTCTTATTTAACCATATGGGACCTCCAGCACTCTGACCTTTTATTTCTTCCATATTCATTAGCCCCTACTTCCTTCCCAAGGAAACAAAAATTCATAATCTATCTTTTTATCCACTCTCTTCACACCACTCTAAGCTTCTTTGCCATCTCCTGTCCCCTGTCACACTTGAGTAGAAAGAAACAACCTGAACGAACCCAACATTTCACTACTCCACACTTGCAAGAAGATGGTACCACTATAAATTCCCAACCACAAGCCCCACTGGGCCTTTGGTGCTGGAGTTATGCAGTCAACTTGCTCACTCTCTCTATTTTTATTACATATCTTCTCTGCTCTCCTCAAATCTCAATTCACTGCCTTTTGGCCCTAGAAGATCAGCTCCTATCCTGCTTAAAAGAAAAACTAGATGCCACCAGATAGAAATGGCCTCCTATTCCTGCTGCCAAGCCATATTTATCCTTCCAATGCAGAGGTGCTCCTCCAATTTAATTTCAGGGCCACCTCCTCAGCCCAGTTTTAAGTATCATCCCCTCCCTTCTTAGAACAGTTATACAGTGGACCGCTTTTCTCCCACTTTATCCCCAATATCTCCCACTCTACTGCATCCTTTCTTGACTGTCTCTTGACCCTATTTCTTTCTTCTAGTTCCTTTCTCACTTCTCCACTTTCCTCCGCAACAAAATCTCTTGGAAGTATTGCATATACACACTGTCTTCATCTCCTCACCTCCCATCTACTTACTCCTCAGCTCACTCCGCTCCACCTAAATGGGTCTCACTGTGATCCTTAGTGACCTCTTCATTGCTGATCAAATGGACACTTCCCAATCTTTAATCAACTTGACCTTTTTAACTGCATGTTATACATCTGACCATTCTCTCTAGGTGGAAATATTCTCTTCCCTTGATTTCCAAAATTCAGACCTGCTTTGGTATTCATCACAACTGAGGCTCTCCAGGCTCTTTCTCTTTCTCCTCCATCAGCTCACCTGCCTCTGCCTTACCATCACGTGTTTCTGTGAGCTCAGTGCAATGGGGCCCACATCTCCATTGTAGGTCCCTTCTCCCCTCTGTTGACATTTCCTCCTTGGAGGATCTCGTCCACTCCCTTGGTTTCATCCACAAACTATGAGCTCTAAATTTATATCCCAACTCCAGTTCTCTCCTCTGAGCTCCAAGCTTGATATTCCTACTAACAGAAATTCTAAACCCAACACAGTCAAAATTAATCCATGACTGTAGCCCCTAATCCTTAAGCTTCTCTTACATTCCTATACTGTTTCTCATCACAGTGGATGGCAACAGTGATCATTTAGTTGCTCAAGCTAAATACTCAGAAAATCAAGCCTTGAAACTGACCTGTCCTCACTCACCCATATCCAATCTGTCATCATGCTTTTTTTCTTTACTAATCCTAAATACCTTTCAAAACCATCAACTTCTCTGTCTCTTCTGTCACATCCCCCACCCAAATGGCCATTGTCTACTGCCTGGACTCCCACATTCTACTCTTCCATCCTGAGTCTAACCCATTATAATAGAATCTAAACTGCAGCCAGAGAAATCTCTCTAAAAATAATGAACTGATCATGTCACTGTCCAGCTCAAAACTACCCTCTTTGCTCTTAGCATAGAGACTAAAACCCTGAAGACGGCTCTTGCCCACCTTGCGAGCTCCATCTTGTGATACTCTCTTCCTCCCTGTGTGTGTCTCAGCCTCATGACCTCCCTTCAGTTCCAGGAACATACTGTGAGCCTCCTTCGCACATCACAGACTTAGCACTATTGCTGCCTCGGCTTCAAGGATTCTCTCACTTCTCATCTCTATACTTAGACTAGCTAATTGCACTACTTTAAGAAAAAGACCTGGGCCCTCCAGAATAGGTCCAATTTTCCTGTTATATGTTCTCTTTACTTACCACTTACAAAACTGCAAATAATGTCTTTCTCCCTCATTAAAATGTAAGCTACGTGAAGTACAGGTTTGGGATCTTACTCATTCATCCCTATATCCCTCCACTTGGCATTGGGCCTTGAATAGAGTACATGCTCAATTACTACATTCTGAAGTATGAATGAATGAATGCTTCCGAACCTTTGGATTTACTGTCTGTGTGCCCTCCAACCCTTCCCCATCTGGCAAATGTTTACCTACTCCTCAAGTCTTTGCTTACACATGGCTCCTTTTCATGCCTTCTTTCGGCATCAAAGCGTCTATTCTTATATGTTCTAGGACACCCTTTCCTGTATTTTAATATCACTGTCATGTTTTCCTTGCTCTTGCTGCCTCTGACCATAGTACCCTTTCCTCTTCTTTGTGAATCCACCCTCCTCATCCTTCAAGGGCACTGGCTCCAAGCAGACTTCCCGAGCAGGAGGGAGAATCTCTCTAGAGCATTCGCCTGTACCTTCTCCTATTCCGTGATTCCTTTGTGTCTTATCTTTCCCACTCGGTTTTTGAATCCCATCTTCTTTCCCTCCTCACCTTTATTGCATGCTTCCCTGTCTCTCCCCTTCAATTCCTGTATCTTGTTTTAGCTCCTCTATTCAGATATTCTATCCTGTTCGTGCCTCCTGCTTGGTTAATATGTCCTGTCTGACCTCTCCTGGTACTCAAGGAAAGTCCAGATTTTAGACTGCTTAGTCCATTTTACTTGTTTAAAGAAAAATATTTGTATTTATTCAAGTTTACTTCTGAACTGTCCCCATCTACAAATGTATTTAAGAAAAAAAAAAAAACACATTTCGTAATTTTTTCTCTTACTTTCAACACCTTCAAAACACACAGTGACCTTTACAGAAATGCAAAATATCCACCAACAACCAGCACAGGAATACTAAAACATTTACTCCCATTCCCCCTACACAAGTGCCTCTTCTTTATAATTACCTCTCCTTGATATCCTGCCACTCCGAAATGTAATATATTCTCTTTCTACTCTACTTCCAATTCTGTAGAAGATACCAACTGTCGACATGGACAGCAGCAATTTATTGGGACTTCTTTGCTAAAACAAAGGGAATTTAGCACCATACCTAAGACTTGACCAGAAAAAAAGATCTTAAAACTATGTCTTGTTGTCTAACTGGAACTCAGAAGGAGAAAGAATTTTAAAAGATTTAAGTTAAATTTGTCCACTGATTTATTTTTATTAAAGTTCATCAGTACAGGGGACATTAGATTCTCAAATATTAATTGTTTCCCGAGTAGTAGGGAAGGCACATGACTTCTCACACCTAAGAGGTGAAATATCAGATACCAACTCGAGGAGAAAGTAAGAATGAGCCAGACAACCACATACCAACCCCCAGGAACCAGGAAGGCCCTAAAGTATAAAATAGAATAACTAGAAAGAGCTGAATGATTCTGTCTCCCCATTATTTTCCCATGTGGACCT